CTTCTGTGAGCAGTGAATGTGGAATGCCGTTACGAGCAGGAGTTCTCGGTGTGGTCAGAGGGTCAAGCTCCCCTCTGTCTCGAGAGCGGGGAGTCTGTTTGAACACCTTCCCTAAGCCGGCTTGCTAGTCATTGGTTTCTGCTGGTTAGGTGAGCAACCAGAAACGGAATTGTTAGAGAAATATTGTCTTCATGTTTGTGTATTGCAGAATACAATTTTGAACTGAAATTGTGCAGTTATCCTTTAAATACTGTTCATTTGTGCAAACTTTGTGTACTGGCTTCTCTTGGTTTAAGGTTCTCTGACCCAGATTCCTCCTTAAAAAGTTTCTAGATCAGCTTGTTCGTGCGCTCATCCCTTGTTAAACACACAGGTGAACGTACTCCCTGAAGTGAGCAATGCGTGAACACACCCGTTCTGCTAAACAAGTTGATTTAATCCCCTCTAGTACAACCTCTAACCCGTGTCTCGTCCTTACAGTTTTGTTACCCCTCTTGGTCGTCTTTTCTATCTGAACAGATTGTCAGGGTGTTATTATTGTACACAACCAGTACTGGCAATGGAAAGTGTTGAGGATTTTGTGAATCAATACTGTTAAGTTTATTTTGGTTGTGCGTGCTATGAATGCAGAGTGTTGATCACCTGAGAGTCTGATGCTCTTACTTGTACAGTTGTGGGTTTCATTCGGTCCTTGACTGGGCAATATTTATTAGTTTCAGCATTTTTGTTTAGGATGAAATTGTGTTCTGTAGAGATCGTGCAAGTTTTATTTCTCCACGTAACTGGTTCATAATTTAAACGTACCAGCTTGCATGAAAAATGTGCTGGTAAATTCTACTGGTTATAATGTATGCTTAGTAACTTATGCTGCTAAATTGTTTAAATACATCCGAAAAATACATTTATATTGTAAAAAAATCTTTAATTTGTTCCATGTTAGAGCATCACAAAATTCACATTAAAATTTTTGCCTATGAACTAAAAATTTTGGAAGATGTGTTCTTAAAGTAGGGGATGATTGTATGGTGTTGACAAACTACAAACGTGTAAAGTTTCTAGGTTTTGTATTGTTAAACCAAACATTTTATGTTCCAGTGGACTTCTTATATCTAGGTCCATTTTATTTTCCCCACAGTGAACTTCCTGAAATATTGAAACATTTATATAACAAATCTGCATAAGTTACATGAACTGGTTAACCGCCATGGTTAAACCGGGTTTAAAATCTCTAACTACTGTGTGCACAGACACTTATCTGTGGACTCCTAGCATGACATTTTATTTAAATATTCACTGAACTTTGGTCCATTTCTGAAATGCATAGTGAATGGGTATCTGTATTGTTTTTAAAATCCCTATTTCCTACCCTGCCGTTAAAAAAAAAAAAGCTTTTTCAGAGGAAAATGAAGTGAAAGTGTGGAATTGATTGAATAGAAGGTCTATGGGGAATTATTCCCAGGGTTACAGGACATTTTTGCCCTGAACGTGACTGTACAGGGTTCTCTGGTGGTGGTGTTCTGTGAAGACTGAATGGTTGGTGGTCCTTTCAGATGAACAGGTTCATTAACACTGGTTTAAAACCTTGAAAGGTGTTTTTGTGTAGCTTTGAAGCGGCTGTGGGTGAAAGGTCGTGTATCTGCTCTGTGGTGGTGTGTCCTCCGTCTGCGTGTAGAAACAAGGTGACATGGCGCACAGCGCTGAGCCTCCATGCTCCTGCCTGGACTCGAACCCGGCTTCTTAGCCGGCACAGCGCCTCTCCCGGCGCTGGAAGAGTGGGTGCTGTGGGGTACGGTCTGGGGGTTTCCTCTGCGCCAGGGTGAGGTGCAGGACCAAGGAGGACCCGTTCAAAAACGCGTTGCAGAGATCCAGCACCTGCTGGGTCACGCTGCTCTCTCGCCCCCCTTCAGACAGCGGTGCAGGCAGGAGTGTGGAACCCTGAGCGCTGCTCCTGTCTCCGGCCTGTGACTGGCCTGGGGGCGGGGCGGCTCCTCGGGCACCGGCCTGGCCGGGGCGTGGCTGGGAGAGGGCGTGAGGTCTGGGCCAGTCTTGGGACCCCTAGGTCTGAGGTGTCCTGCCATCGAGCTTTCGTGTCCCTCGGTCCATGTGAATGTGAGCAGGAGGGGAGAGTTATAAAGGTCGGATCTGTAACTGTTTCCTGTAAATACCCCAGCAGCGAGGGGAGGAAGTCTTGCATCACCTCCTGACCTTTGTCCTTCTGCTTCATGGCTCTGCAGCAGAGCTCTAGGCCATGTGCAACACCCAGGGCTCTGTGCTGAGTGCTGGTTTCCTATGACCAGAAATGTGATGGGATGAGTAAGGATGTCATTGATGGCTCCATTGATTTTTTTTCTTTTTTTTTTGGAGACCATGCGACTTCTCCGACATGCTGGTCTAACTGGAGCTGTGGGTGCAGATTTGTTTTCCACAGGTGTGAATCGGCTCTCCTGTGCTCGGCGGTGTGCGGGGTCGAGATTGGAAGGGTTATACAGAGCCCTGGGAGAGCTCTCGAAGCACCTTGATCGCCCAGCTTCTGCTCGCGGTGTCTGGGATTGTCCAGGCAGGGGCTCTGTGTGGAGGCTGGGAGCGGGGTGACGGGTCAGCGACAAGGAAGCATCAGCCCTTGTCAGTACTGCTGGAGGCTGAGTCCTCCACCTAATATTTATCCTGGAAGGACACTAGGTCTTATTTGGTATTTGGTTGAGCATTAAGTTCTCACCCAAGTGAGAAGGTTTCATGCATTTTAAAATCAAGTCAGTTGTTCTGTGGAGGGGAAATGTTTACAGATTTTTTTGTATACATATGAGTATTTTTCCAGTAAGGCGAAGACTGCAGTATGTTTTATTTAATAAACATGTAGATTTAGAGATCGTTTGCATCTCCATGATGCATTCATCTTTATGAAGAACCTTTGACGATGGGCTCAGTGTCGTAGAACCTTGAGCAAGAGGTGTTTTTTTGTGTTCCCCCTGTGTTGTCATGCAAGATCAATTTTCAGTCACTGACGATTTTTCATGTGACTCAACAGGCATTCATGAAGAACAATTTGTCAAAAAGATATAGCAGGCTTTGTAATTGCTGTAAAAGTGTGTGTGTGTGTGTACTGCAGGGAATTGTTGAAAAGAGTGAGTTTTGGTCTTTAGGTTTTTGTGGCCAGATGGACTGACTGACTGTACAGTGTGGGTCTTGTCTGCACAGCCACTGTGCTGTTATTTGCAGACTTTCATGCTCAGCTAAAGCTGTTCTGATTCATATACTCGACATAATTAGTCAGTGTTGGGGCATGTGATTCTTGCTCCAGATTTGTCATGGTGTGAAGAACGGTCTCTACTTCTCGCCATCCTGCCCTGCTCCTATATCTCCATATTTATTATATACGAAGTTTATCATCATCTTTTATTTATAAAGTGCCTTTCCAAACCCAAGGACGCTGTACATGGGGATAAAGAAAAAATGGGAAAAGTACACAAAAGCTGACAGGTTCCTACAGACAGAATGTAGGGAAATCGGGTATAGGTCCTGGTAAAAAGTTCCGAGTTTGGGTTTGAAGAGAGTCAAAGAATTTGTTTCCTGAAGAGTCCGAGAAAGGGCATTCCATAACCCTGGAGCAGCAACAGGAAAAGCATGATCTCGGAAAATCCCGGATTTTAGTCCCAGGTACTGTGAGCAAAGGACCGGCTTCAGCTGACCGGAGCCTACGAGAGGGAGTATAAACACGGAGGAGTTCAGAGATGGCGGAGGCAGATTGCTTAGAGCCTTGAAAGTCAGTAACAAGCTCTTATATTGGATACGTGGCTTTGTAGGATAACAATGTAGAGACTTAAGCGTAGGACTTCAGTTCACACACAAAGGAATCAAAGCAGAATTGGTTCCCTTTGCTTTGTGCTTTCATTCGTTTCTGATCCCCTTCACTGGTTTATTGCGGCTCAGGCCTGGAGCAGGAGGCCTGTACAGAGTGGGGGTCTGGATTGCTAGCGTCGGCGACGGGCGTCCATGTGGGTTTGAGCAGAGTAGTTTTTGAACTTGTTAAAGCTCTGGTCTGAGTGTTTAAATGGCAAACAAAAAAAAAAAAACCCTGTTAATTCCGGTCTTTGAGTAGATGGTGGCTTAAAAATGTACATTTTTGCAGACGCATCTCGGTATGTACAGGACACAAGATGTGGTTATTTACCGGGCAGTAAGAACATCTCTGGTAGTGTACAGAAACAGACGGGATGAATGGGTCTTCAGTCTTGCAGGCTTTTCTCACCGTGCTCAACAGGGCTCGTTTCCCTTTTTCGGCAAAGGGATTGTGTGGGTTTTCACACTCCCGGGGGCTGAAAAATACTCCAATACTCCAAAATACTTGTCTGCCGAACGCACAACTGGGAGAGCAGGGCTTTGACTTCCAGGATGAAGAATGTGAGGAATGCCCGGACTGCACAGCGCTCGGTCGAGCCCCTCTGCGTGAGGGAGGGTTGGGCTCCTTCTCCGTGGTTACTGCGGCTGCCCATGGCTGCCGATTGCCTGTTTTTAGAAGGAGAAGATGAACAATCGACTTGCTGGTGAATACTTGGCATGGTTGTCACCTCCTTACCGGCTGCTTGCACAGTCCTACGCAAGCCAGCGCAGCCCAGCGCCTGCTGTGCTTTGCTCTGTTGCATTGGAGGCGTTCAGCACTGAGGTCTAACTAAGGAGGTCCGAAAGTTCATTTAGTCTATTCTACTTTTTTAATTTTTTGCTCTCAAGTTCTCTATAGCGTAAGAATGAAACTGGTTAAAGTTAGCTGCCCCTCCCCCGAGACAGTTCACAGACTGTTTCTGTGAAGCTCAGCTTGTGGTTTGTTTTTCCTGCTGTCTGTTCGGGAAATAAGCGCTGGGTGCTGCGTCTCTGCAGTGTTTGGGTGAGAGAAGAGCCAAACAAGATGCCTTTTTCAGGGACACACTGCCGATCTGTGAAGCCTTGTGTGCAGCCGACTGGACTGTGAGGGTACGCTGGTTTTAATGTGGGCTCTCTCTTCACAGGAGTCGCAAGCTACAGATCAGAAATATCCCTCCACATCTGCAGTGGGAGGTAAGTTATTTTTTTTTATATTGGAAGTATTTATCCTATCCTTGTCAATGTTGCTGTTTTTCTGTAAACTAAGCTTTCCTTGCAAAGGCTGTGAGGAGTTTGCTTTTACTCAAGTGTTGTTCGAAGGAGCTCCTCTGTCGGGGGTTTTGCCTGGAAGGGCTGAGGGTTTCTCGCCACCTGTTACTCGCGGCGCCTCAGGTGGGAGGGAGCTGTTCGGCGGCGAGGGGCGGCGGCTGCAGCTGCTGCGCTCCGGTGCAGCGGTCCTGCCTGGCGGGAGGTGAGGAGTATCCGCTGGGAGCGGTGTGGCGGCTCCGACGGCGCTCCTGGGGCAGCGCCACTCCGCCCCGGAGATCAGAGAGACCGGTATTGACCGGAGTTTTCTCTGGGTGGTCAAGTCAGAAGCCGTTTTGTTGTGTAGCTTCGATTAGTTTCCCAAGCTGGAGGAAATCCTAACCAGAGATGTTATCTGTTGGCAGTGCTGTTCAAGTGTTCCTCAGCTGTGCAGTCTCTGAAATACAGGGCTCTGCTCCATGGTAGCGCAGAGGAATCATATCCTCATGAAACGCTCCCTAAAACGAGCATTTTTATCTTTGGAGAGGAATAGAAATTTATTTGGCAACCGACTTTCGTAACTTATGCTAAATACACAAAGCTTGTAAATGTGAACTTAATTTCTGTTTTGTGTGTGCATCTCTGCTACCCCATTCAAAACAAGGAATTGTATAACATTTTGCTCTGGATCAATCGATCACAGTTTATGTATCAAATGCACACCAATACAGTGTGCAGCAGCAGTAGTTCCTGGCAATGAAATGTCTTTTCTGCTACGGGAGGGGGTACCATAATCGTGCATTTCACCGTTTTCAAAAACTGCTGTGAAGTTCCCCTTCCCTCTGTGTGTCCAAACACCTTCATTTCTTCAGGTTTCTTGCTGTTGCTCATGCTGGTCCGTTAGATAAGTTCAAGCTGCCCTTCTCTGAGCCAGCAGTCATTCCTGTGACCTAGGAGAACATGTAGCCAATCCAAAGAGAAACATCTTCATCAGAATTGGTGTTTGTAGGTTTCAGGTGCTGGTTGGTGACGATCAGCTGGTAGTGGCAGTGGGCTAGTGACTTCTTGGTCTCATTTCCTGGTTCCTCTGCAGTTCTGCGCCTCTGAGTCGGAACGCTGAGATCTGTGGCTCCTATGATGTGGATTAATAGGAGTATAGCGTTGGGCAGCATGTGGAGGGAGATGTGGGGAGTTCTGGAACAGCTGTCTCTTCAGATGTCTTACTACTGTTTATTGTAGCACCGTTACGAAAGGGTGAGCTAAGTTCGTTGTGTATCGATACGCTTGGCAGATTTTTCCACTCTCGTGCATGTTTTATGTGCGCATTAATTTGTTATCACTTGAGTAAAGCATTCAACGTCAGCCCTCTGAGGGTTAGAGCTGAGGTTTGGACTTTCCTCGACGGGGGATTGGAAGGGAGTGACCCTCTGTACAGTGCGTTATGAAATCACCCACCTTCCTTTTAGGTTCTGGCGGAAGTAAATTCTAATTTTTAGTTAATGCAACTTTGCATCACATTCTTTTGGCTATCAGGTCTTTCCAGCACATGTTAAAAATAAATGCAATAAAAGTAAATCCATTAGAGCTGCCTGTCCAACCCTGGTTCCTGAGGGGGTTTCTGTGGTACACGAGTCCTCTTTTATGAGACATTTGTAGTTTTTCAAGCAAAACATTTTCCTGTCCTCGGAATTGATGTCTTTAAGGTCCAGGTACTGGATCCGGGTGTGGGTTAGAGCTCAATCTTGAATACAAGAATATTGGGGGGAGGAGAAATCTTCATTTATAAGTTTTGGTTGATTGTATGTGTTAGAGCATTTGTCATAAATTTAAAAAAAGTCAATATTTTATCATGGTCTTGACAAAACAATACCAATACTCTCAAAATGGTCCAGAAGTCCTGAAGTGGTGTTAATTTGGCCAAAGCACTTGGTTGTCAGCTGTTTTAGAAGATTCCAGCAGATGAGCAGATCTTCAGCGAGGAAAAGGAAATGAAGCAACACAAGGCTAACAGCTCAGGCTTGCACTTTGTGCGTATCTGGGTTTGGCCATGTGACTCGAGTGTCGACAATAGAACGGGAACAGTCTGTACTGGATTTGCTACAGACCTGCCCTCTTAATCTGCGCTAAGGAAGGGAAACTCAAAATCCATTTTGTGAGCTGCTGAACATGCATGGTAGGCAAACATATCCTGGACACACAAATCTTTTCGTCAGTGGCAGCTGGCTGTGGAACGACAAGGCCCTGGTCTCCAGTCTCACGCCACGCTCCTGGAGTGCTGGGGCAGTGCAGAGAGCTGCAACACTTCGTCTGGATTCATGTGGATGAAGTAGGAGCACTGACATTCCTCATTAAGAAAACTAACTTCACTTCAGTCTCTTTTCTGTTTCAAACTGCTTTGAGCAAAGGCAAGATAATTTTATTTTTTAGTTGCTTCAAGTTTTACTAAATGGATATTTTTTTAATTACTTGAACATTCAATGTTGGGTTCACTTTCAAGCCAGTTAGGGTTTTCAGAGTAGACTTGTCATGGTCAACCTCCATTATGCTAAATATAAATGAGTAATTAAGTTGCCATGAAACATTTCAATTCAAGTTTTGTTGTTTGTTTAAAAAATTAAAGGTTGCGAATGAAGTAAGAAACTGACCACCTATTTGGGAGTTAGATGTCTTGAAAGGCAGCAACACTTGTTGCAGATCACAGATGAGGAGCTGATACTTTAAAAATATCTAAACATTACTGGTGTGTACCTACATAGCTTTTTATTTGCTGGTTTCATAGTTGTTTCTTCAAAATCCTGTTCTGAGGTATTGGAGAAGGCTGTCGCACAGTTTTGTCAAAAAGCCTTCTTGAATTTTGATCCATCTTCAGTTTCAAAGCTAGAATACATGTTTTGAAGATTTTCTCCAGTGTACTTAGGGCCATACATGTGTCTGTAAGAGGTGGTAATGAGACATTCTTTTAATGTGGACCTGAAAGGTTTTGCTTCTGAATTCAGGAAGCCTTATTTGAGAGAGGAAAAATGAAAACTTCATAGAAAAGACTTAATGTGCAGATGTGGTCAAACCTCTGCCCATTAATAACTGGTAAGTCCAGAAATGACTAAAGAGTAAACCTGGTTTAGGTTACCCCCTTCAGGGTAAACTGCTCCGTTGTAGAATCGGAGGAATGAAAGTTGCTCTGCCAGGTCAAGTGGTATAATCGCTAAGAGACACCGGTAACGTTCTAGTTCATATGTCATAGAAGAGGCATAATCAGGGGCCCAGTTGGCTTAATCAGTCGATCAGGAAAAATCAATAAATTGAAGAGTAACGGCGTCCAGGTAAGAGAGTTTATTGAACAGCAGGTTATGTAAATTCTATGTTAACAAGACAATGGGAGACGCATACCTGCGGTGGAGGCTCAGTTGTGTTTAGTATTACAGCTGCACAAGCCCAGGAAGGAACGAGGCTCAAGAGGTGGTCAAGGGGACTGGTAAGGTAGGGGTCCACCCAGCCATTTCTCTGAGGGCTCATTTTGACAGATGAGAAAGATCCTGAGCTACTTGGCTAGCACATACTATCAGTATAGTCATTAAATTATATAGTTATCGTATTCTAACTGTTTAATATGAAGGAAAAATGAGCTGGTCTGTATTTCAGCGTGATCAGTGAAGCTGTGTGATGGGCAGCCACCCCGTACGGAGGTGTTGGTGTTTGTTGGCTGGAGATATTGGTTTGATAAAGGAGACCCTGACATAGAGCTGTTTGGGTATTGAAGCGTTTCTCTTCAGAAGCCAGGACTTCAGAAGCCAATCGCAGCTTGCCTCGATTGTAGACGAAGGTCATTTTGCAGTCGTTTCCAAAGGCCCGTGCGCCCAGATGTTCCAGATGCAGGCGTGTGAGGGACACTGGGCCACGGCTCACCTCGAGGTCACTGGGCTCGCCCGTGCAGGAGGCCAGCAGTGGCTTCGTTTCCTAACAGCCTGTGGACCACAGATGGCAAATGTTGCAGTTGCTTGTTCTGCACTTGCTGTACTCGGAGATGGAGTGTCAATGTGAGATTTCACTGTGCTCTTCATTCCCGCGGTTCTCCCCAGTCTTGCCTTTCACAGCTGATTCACACGGTTCAGTCTTTGTGGCATGTCTGGTCTCATGTGTGGGACTTCGCTTGTGTGACTCGGCGAGAGTGTTGCTGTGCCACAAGGCCTCGTGTACAGGAACACCACCGGCTCACAGTTCGAGAAACAGTTTATTCTGTTCTGCACAAGTAGAATTAGTAACTGGTGTCCTAACCAGATGAGGTGCCTGTTGGTGAATGACAAATGGGGGAAACTGGAGTCGGCTTGGTCATTGCTTGTGCACCATAGGTTACCGATACTAGCTTCCCGACTAGCGCGTTCATTTGCATAGAATAGTTCTTAACCTTGTTAACTACATGACTCCTCCTGCTTGCAGCTTTGAAAGGCAACAACGTGAAGATGTCCTCGTGTGGGCCAGGGGCGTGCACACTCCTCTTGCCCTGGTGCTCAGCTCTGACTGCCCCCTGGAGCTGGAAGGCATGCCTTCGGGCTTGCCCGTGAAGTCTTCGCGGTTGTGCCGTCTGTGAATTCGGCTTTGGTTTAGACTCCTCGTGCTGCTTGTTTGAAAGGGTGGCTCTGTTACGGCAGCAGCTGTTTCTGCTGCTCCAGTAAAACCCGCTGGCTGGCAGCATTGCTCTCGCCCTGCACGTTGGACTGGCAGGCTTGTCTCCTCCTCCCACCCTGCCCAGCGTTTGCCCCGTTGAGCCCTGGGGCAGGTTGCAAATCTTTGACTGTCGGTTGCGTGTCCCCCTCACCCTCTCGGTGCATCCCGAGAGCACTTTCAAAAGAAAATGATTAAGCGGTGGTCAGGATAAATCTTTCTGGGACTGAATTAAGTGAAGCATTCATAAGGTGTTTAAATGCAGCTTTTCAAAGCTTCTTGCAGATTAG